TCGCAACCCTCAGTGTTGCCCCCGTACCGGGCCGGGGACCGGCAATGGGATTGCAACCCTCAGTGTTGCACCCGCGCCTCGCTCAGCCAGTGAGTGGGAACCGATCTGTATGTGGGATCCGAACCCTCGGGCGGGAGCGCCGCCGTGCTTCCCAAGCGGCGCACTTATCCAGTGCGCCACTGGGCCAGCCCCTCTCTGCTATCTTTTTATTTAGAGAGTTGTCCTTTACTTTTCCAAGTGAATTTATCAATGGTTTATTTATTTATTTATTTATTTTATCGGTTATGAATATTCATGGAGTACAAAGCTGACTCGTGCCCAAGATATGATGGCCAGAACAATACTGGCAGCATGTCAATTACCACAAATCGTGATTATACGTCCCACCCAGTTAACCCCTGACCTCCCTCCCTATGTCCCTTTCCCCCACTCCACTTTGTATGCCTAGGTCTGCTCTCTCCCTCTGCAAGACCAGTGTATTGCTGTGGTCTTTCTTTCTTTCCTTCTTTCTCTTTTAGCTCCTACTTATGAGTGAGGACATGTGCTATTTATTCCTCTGTTCTTTGCTTATTTTACTCAACGTAAGTTTCTCCAAGCTCATCCATGTTGCTGCAAATGGAAGAATTTCACTCTTTTTTATGTCAGAGTAGTATTCCATGGTGTACATAGACCACATTTTCCTTATCCAATCATCTGTTGATGGGCATTTAGGTTGGTTCCATGTCTTGGCTATTGTAAATAGAGCTGCGGTGAACATGGCAGTGCAGGTATCCCTTGGACATGATTTCCATTCCTCTGGGTATATACCCAGAAGTGAGATTGCTAGATCGTATGGTAGCTCTATCCATGGTTGTTTGAGAAAACTCCACACCGTTTTCCATAGTGGTTGTACTAATTTACAGTCCCACCAACAGTGCAGGAGCGTTCCCTTCTCTCCACACCCTCACCAGCATTTGTTATTCTCTGTCTTTTTGATTATAGCCAGTCTAACAGGGGTTCTTTTTAAAACTTTCTTAGGTCTTATTATTAAAGTTATGCTTTCTTTATAAAAGGAACTATCCAATTTTATGGATTTTTTTTCTATTTAAATATTTAAATATGCTATAACCATAATTCCCTCAGTTATGTAATCTTCACAAATGTTTAATTGAATTCAGTGGTTCCTAGTAATCATTTTACAGTGATTTTCTTTTCTTGAATTTTTTATTTTAATTTATTTCTTGGTTGGATTAATTTTAACGTTAGGTGGTTCATCTTATACACAGCTGCAATTTATTCCTAGGTGATTTTTACTTTGCTTTGTTATTGTTGCTAAATAGGCTTTATTTTTTAGAGCACTTTTAGCTTCACAGCAAAACTGAGTGGAAGATACAGATTTCCCATATACCTCCTGCGTCCACCCGTTCAGAGCCTCCCCCATTATCAATATCCTCCATTGGGGGGTACTTTTGTTACAAATGGTGAGTCTTACTGACACATCATTATCGCTCAGAGTCCATAGTTTACATTACGGTTCATCCTGGTGTTGCACAGTCTATGGGTTTGGACAAATTTATAATGAGATCTATCCACCATCATAGTATACAGACTAGTTTCATGATTCTTAAATTCCTTTGCGCTCCATCTATTGATCTCTCCCTCCACCCAGTCCCTGGCAACCACTGATCTTTTTACCATTTCCATTGTTTTGTCTTTTCCAGAATGTCATGCAGTTGGAAGGACACAGTGTGTAGACTTTTCAGACTGGCTTCTTTCACTTAGTAATATGCACTTATGCTTCCATGTCTCTTCATGGCTCGATAGCACTTTCTTCTTTTAGCACTAAATTA